TTAACTTATTTTAACGCTTAAAAGTAAGTCCTTCAAAATATTATTCAATCAAAATCTGATTAAGCCTGCGAGTTCTCAGAACAACTTGATCCATTGGTTGCATGAATGGTTGTATTGGGGGGCAGAATTATGGCTTTAATGTTATCACAACATCACGGTGTATCCGTTGATATAAATAAAGGTTGGACAGTCCAGCTAAGTGTTTCTAGTTTTCGCAGAATCTGCATTTGTCTGTCTGTCACTTTCCAATGGTTCTAAGGTGTTTCCTAATGTGACAGTGCCTATTTAGCCCTGGGTCAAGGACCGCAAAAAAACTTATAGACCCCTAAAGGAAGGATTGGAAAGGCTTACTGAGTCTAAAAAGGGGGACATCAGACTACTAGTGGGGTTACTCTCCTAGGCCTCTGCCTTATGGACCTTTATCCAATCTCCAATCTCAGACTTTGGTCACTCCAAAACTAATTTGGGCAACACAGTAGACTTCTGACCCTGTAAGCTGTTCATATGTACCTCTCCTGACCAGGGCATCAGCTTTCTCATTCTCTGAGTCCTCCGGAATCCAAGTGATGGATACACAATGAAACTTTCTCTGATCATGAATATCTTTGAAAAAAAAAAATATTATTACTATAAACTACAATTATTTTAGTCCTCAATTATTATAATATTTGTAGATAAATTGTAATTCGTCGCTGTGGCAATTACTGCTGCCTGACATGTGATAACTTGTATTGTGATGATGAAGATGGTGATCAGTCTTGTTTAGTGAGTAACTAGTTAAACTGATATCAAAAAAAAATTTTTTTACTTAGGTACTATAGAAAATAAATGTGTTAAGCTTTCAGACAACAATTAAAATATTATACAAAATATTTAAGGATTTTAAATGCCTTGAAAAGCTTTGGTCCATTCACTGACCAATCCAATCCTCTAAATGGGAAAACCAAGCATAAAAAGAGAGCTTCAGAAGTCTGCTAGTAGTCACCCTTAATCACAGTTTTTCTTAAACCACTTTCTCCCCTCACACTTTAATTTTTTTTTATTCAGCTCACAAACTGAAGTCAGGGTACCACCTTTCTTTGAATTTTTAACCTTTTAAGAAATTAAAGAATTCTCAAGTGGTACGGTAATTCCACAGAAATATGCATCTTAGAAGGTACCTATTGTAATTGATCTTTCTCCTGGGACAAGCAACTTTACAGACATACTTATATTATCTTTGGGTGGATGTAACTTTTGAAGGTTAAAGTGGGGTCATTAAAATATTTATCAATTGTTATCTAGATTTGGTTACTGGTATCATTATTTTTCTAAAAATGTTTATGCATGTTTACTTAGCAAGACGAATCTGTATCTGGCTTATATATATTTATCTTGTAACTTGAATCTCATGTATTATTGACTGTAAAAATGGTGTTTACCGTATAAATAAATAAATAGACAGGTGAAACACTACATGCTTAATGATAAATAAACTTTCATTTTCATTACGGTACTTAATACTAATATTTTAGGACTTACTAAAGCAAGCTTGTAAATGTGGCGTATAGGCCTATGACACATGGTATTTATTGATTGAGACATTTTGCATGAAGATATTAATTACAAGTGAAGCAATAGCCGACTGATCGCTCATTGTAAAATGCCATTAAAACTGCAAGTAGAAGAATGTGTATAGAGACTATAGGATATTGTATTAAGGAATATGATTATTACATCAAGTTGTCGTTTATCTTTTAATGGTGAAATAAGAGCCCAAAGAACTGAGAGTCTACACTTAAGATATTAATACTCCTTTCCATTATCCCATACAATAAATGGATTCTAAATTTACTTAATATAAAATACTTTCTCTTAAAGTATGCTATAGGCCTAGGTTAACCCTTCTTGGTTATGTAGCGGTTATAGACAGACATTTAATGGTTGTAATATACATGTGTTATAGAAGGAAAGCCCATATTTCTACTAATTCTATTCCACCCACCGGGCTTTACTTTCCCGAGTTTTGAAGAAGTATCACACTTCTGGCTCTAAGCCAATACATATTTTAAAATGAACATCTATGAATGTTTACATTTTAAGACTAAAACTATGTTCTTTTCCAAATAAAATGAATGAATGAATGAATGAATGAAAATGTGCTTTATTGTACAATTTAGAACATAAATACATTTTTACACAGACACATAAAAACAATGGTTAATAACCGTCTGTTTTGTTGGCACTAGAGTTGTTCCATTACTTAAGATTAGAATAGTAGGCCTATTGAGCACTAAAAAGATTTATTAATATTTCTGAAATAAAGACATAAGAGAAAAGATATAAGAGAGAACGAAATATTATTACATAAGTGATAAAAAACAAAAACATACTGATCCTAACTTATCTGTAGACGAGTTTCATATACAATTATTTAGGTTCAAAAGTTAAATTCTGTCACTATCTCCCATCTATACTTCCAAGCGTTTTCTAGATAACTAGCTAAAGCTCGCCAATTCCTCCCATTTATAAATTGATGATATTCTATTTCGTTTAAAAAAAGTTTTCCCAGCCACAAATGTCTTATGTGTTTTAAAATCGGACAAAGTGCAATAAAATGATAGACTGTTTCATTTTCATTTAGGTTACATAAAGAACATCTATAATTTTGATTGAGCCAAGGCTTGTAGTTCAGGTTGATAAGCTATAATCTTGCTTTAAGAATCCACGAAATGGTACGAGTATTGTTGAGTTTGAGGGGACTCTTATCTCTAAGTTCAAGGTCGAGCGTGAGTAACTGGCTGTGATGGACGGAGGTGCGCGCTCGACCAACACACTCCCCCCTCCACCTACAAGGTAGCCCCTCCGCTACCGACCTCAACTGTTCGCTAAGCTCCGCTAAATCATCATTTTGAAAATTAATATTTATATTAAATTGTTGTCCCAGAAGCTTCCATTCTTTACTCCAAAATACATTCCTTGAAATAATTTGTTTAGCTAAAATTTTGGGCAATCTCCCTGCTGGTAACGTTAAACATTTCAATAAATAATTTAGATTTACATCTATATATATAATTCCGTAAGTCAAATTTTTGTAAAGAAATTGTGAGTGACTGGATGGCCGTAGAAGGATGGGAGGGGTCTTATTTTAAAGGTCTAGACGTGAATTTTGAGGGAAAACTATTCATTCTTCTTATTTTTTTACCATAAATTCGCAACAGAATAAAACTTTTCCCATTAAAACAACATGGGGTTTAATTTGTTTACATCTTTTGAAATTAAAACAGCTGTGCCACAGATTTGTATTAGTTGTATTTCTGAACATCTGTGTACTCATAGCCTTTGATATAGATACCAGCTGTACTTTTTATGAATTTCAGTTTGTTTTATATATGGCAAATACAAGAGAACAGAACAATACAGAAAACAATTCATATACAAAAAACATAGTTTATCCAGAGGTTCTGACTAATTATCAAATGCAATAAGTAAAGTAGTGATTTCTATTCATGTAAATAAAACTTGAATTAAACCAAATTTTAATTGTTTTTTATGCTTATTATTTTCAAAATAAAAAAGTTTACTGTTTTAGAGGCTATTGTCCCTACAAACCACCATTTAAATGTAAATGTATCTACTGTATATAATATATTGTATACATTTCGTGTTATAAACTATATTATAATGCTAGAAAATCAGTGCTTATTTATAAATGACCAATGAAGGTTGATAAAAAATTTATGTATTTTGGTTTTTTAGGGGCTTTTGCCCCTACAAGCCCCTAGTTCAAAGTATAACAGTATAACTTTTCACAGCATGTTTCCAAATATAATGCATAATTTGGTGTGTTAAAAGGTAAAGAGAATAATTTTTTGAGAAATATTTTTTGAACAGATTCTATTTGATCGCTTTCTATACATCCCCACACCTGAGCTCCGTAGCAGATTGTAGCTCGCACTACCGCTTCGAAACAACACATTTTAGAACATAGCGGTACTTTTGGGTTTTTAAATAAAGCACTCCAGACTGAATTAACAGCAAATTGACATATTCTGGCTTTTTCTTTGAAATGATTACCCCATGAAAGGGAACTTGTAAACGTGATTCCTAAATATTTGAACTCATTAACCACCTCAATAATTTTACCCATATACCACCATTTGTCGCTCGTCTTCAATTTCCCACCATTTCTAAAAACGATAATCTTTGATTTATTTAAATTTACAGTTCTGGCTCTAAGCCAATACATATTTTAAAATGAACATCTATGAATGTTGACATTTTAAGACTAAAACTATGTTCTTTTCCAAATAAAATAGTGCCCAATATACAACAATCACTTTTAATCCTTGAACCTTTTGCAGAAACATTTAATAAGTTGCAGTAAAAATTAACAAAAGCATTAAATAGCTATTGGCTAAGTTTGTAAAGAGTACAAAGTAGGCTAAGTCATGCCACTCGAGAACTCTAGATCGCCGCACGAAACTTTAGCTGAGCGAACATTTTGAGAGCGGCAATGACTGTTTGTGCTCGTAATACGTACAAGATTTTAACTACCACCATAATTAACTAAGCTTATGATAACACACATATTAACTTTTTAGGTGTACCTGTATGTAAAATGTCATTTTTAAAAGTTATGACTGCTTTTTTAACAGTTATGTTACTGTATTTGCTTACCGGTTGTTAACTGACATACCACATCCGCGGCTGTGGTTGGTCTAGAAACGGCAACAGTGAAATCAGCTAATTATTGAATGGGAATGATCTATTGCCGTTCTAGAGCAGAAATTGACTGTTTTGCGTACTGTTTTCGTAACATTGCGTGCAATGTTTTACTTAATTTCCATGATGTAGTGGTAGGAAAAAGTAATTAATTGTGTTTATTTCAAGTGGAAACTTATACAAAAATAGGTACGGTACTAGTAAATATTTTTTTTAGGCCTAACTGTTGCCTGAATGAATAGGGTTGAAAGTATATGAATAGGCTAACTAGGCCTATAATATAACTTGCCACTTACCTCAAGGTTTAAGTAGCAAAGTTTACTGTAGCTTTCTTTAAGAAGGATATTTCTGATCATTTTTTTGGTTTGGCAAACAACAGTCCAACAATTGCACAACCAAGTCAACCACAGGATGCAAGTTCATGTAGGTAATAGGAACCCAATCAGCATTCAACTGAGCTGACAGTTTCTAAATTTTAAGTTTAAAATCCAGGACTGCAACAAAACATGTTAAATTAGGCTCTTAACGAAATACATTAATGTGAAAACAAAATTCATGGGCAAACAGATGAATTAGATTTGGAGAGTAAATGGATGCATACACAATTAAAACAAACTGGCAGAGTAATTTTATCAGTACAATCATGTAAAGCACTTATTATTTTAATATTTTCCACATACTAAGGATTGTGTAGCCTAAGTAGGTAGCCTAATTTATGATTTAAAATGCCTTTAACATCCCTCATTAAAAGAAAACATCGGATTTTCACAAGAAAACATTGAGACTTTGATTTTTGAACGAGGTGAAGCAGTCATTAGATACTGAAAAATCTTACCATAGGCTTAATATTTTAGTACATAGGCCTACGTAGCATGGCCTACCTACTTTGCAGAAGAAACTTAGTAAAGTTAATCAGGCTATTTACTCGACCCTCCGATGTTTTCTTTTTCATCAGTAAAATCAAAGTAGGTCTAGCTATCTTTACCAAAGGAACACAATGTGCCATAGGCTACACAGAGTTTACACATCTACAAAAAAGTTGACAGAAGAGGTAAAAACTCAAAGTAAATAATTGGTGACCGCCACATTTGAATAGCTTAGGCTATCTTTTTAGCATTTCTTTTTTAAGTTAGGTACCATACTTTACGATTTTGGGAGGGGGGGAGACACAATCGAGAATCAATTTTTGATGAAAACTTAGACCTTTTTAAGACTTTACCAAACCAGGCTGGAACGTTGTGTTACCAATTGCGTATGGAAGTCTCTGACCAGTTAAAGTCTCCAGGAAGTCTCCAGTTTTAAGCATCCCAGACTTTAGGACCTAGGCCCTAATTGTGTTTTTTTGTAACTTAACTTGGTGTGGCCAAACAGTGACAGGGAGAGTAAGTTAGTATCATCCGGAGGCCACCCTTTTACAGCGCACCAATACGCGTACCATATTACCGATAATGTCACCAGATAGAAGACACTTTAATGGACACGACATTATCAATATCATGTACCTGGGGAGTAATTAAGGGGGGGGGGGTAAAGTTAGCAATTAGTAGTGTGCGCACCTTGTAAAATCTATTGCTGGCCGTTCTGCGGAAAAATATGGTGGCGTACCATATTACCGATAATGACACCAGATAGAGGACACTTTACACGACAGTACCGGTATCAATATCATGTACCTGGGGGGTAAGTTAGGGGAGGAGTAAAGTCAGCAATAAGTTTTGAGAGCCCCCGATAAAATCTATTGCTTGCTGTTTTGCGGAAAAATACGGCCGCGTACCATATTACCGATGATGTCACCATATAGAGGACACTTTAACCGACAGGACAGTATCAATATCATGTAGGCCTGGGGGTAAGTTATGGTGGGGGGGGGGGGTTAAGTCGGTGATATTAGGTCGGTAATTAGGTACGTGGCCGTATTTTTTCGCAAAACGGCCAGCAATAGATTATTTAAGGCGTGCACATTACTTATTGCTGAGTTACTGCCAGGTTCACACCAATAATGTCTTTTGTAAATCATCTTATAAGACAAAACACACTAAATCCAAATCCCGTGGAACCGACAAGGCAACCACAGGAAGGACATTCCAAAATTGAATGAAGAAATATCCCAGCCTCTTAATGAGCACAATCGTTCCAAAATTGAATTAAGAAATATCCCAGCCTAATGAGCACAATCGAAGTAAAGTTCTAGTGTTGGTGTCAAGGAACAGCATAAAATAAAAGTGAGTTCTAAGAACGGTTGAATCGGGCGTCAAAAACAATAATCGTAATTTCCATCAGTGAACTTACTAACGAAGTATTTACTCAAAGTTTCAAAACTTAACTTACTAAAATGCTGGGGTACAGTTTCTTAACTGGGCTATGCTAATATTGATTGAAACTATCGAATTGAAAATATTAATTAATAAGTTAATCGATATTTTTAAACTTATCATAGCCCAATTAAGAAACTGTACCCTAATGCTGAATATTAATTAGCCTAAGTAGGCTCTAAGGCGACCTTTGTAACAAACAAAACAATGGTAAAACAGTTCAAGCCATGCTTAGTTGTAGGGCGTTTTGAAAGTTGAAGGTTATGATGCCTAGGTTAGCTAATCCTAGCGTATAGTGATACTATTACTAACACTAAACTAAAGCTTATTATCTGGCCTACGACTATCCAAAAAAAATTATTTAAATTTTAAGAGATTACTAACTTCTACCCTGGCCTCTGGATGCTTGTTTCACTTACAATTAGGATTAGTTTTTGAGTGAGTAAATGTCGTGACGACGACGACGACGACACGGACCGGACCGGACACGACTGAAAGGAGTGGAGTGGAGTGGAAGGAAGGACAAGGAGGAAAATAGTTGAGTTGGGTTTGGGTATCGATATATAACAAGGGTTTGGGTAGTCGAGTTGTTGATTTGATATTGACTCAATGAATGACTGATGACTCGAGACCATCGATCTCTATTTAATAGAGATCGATGCTCGAGACTCGATGCGATGACCAGCGATGACTGATGATTCGAGTCGACCAGTCGAGCGAGTTAACTCATTCTCAAATCACAACTCGAGTTGGGCACGAACTCGTACGGAAACGGAGATTCCCGAAGCTACACGAACTCGGAACGTAACGAGTTCAACTCGCGAACTTCGACCATTAATAGGGGTCTCAATCCTGGGATCCCGGCCGATTTTTGATACCTAGAAATCCCGGGATTAACGGGTTTGCAAAACCTATGTTTATATTTGTTTCAAGACTGCAAATAAAACATCCCAGACAGCACACTTTATCCCAGGGACATCCCATAGTAGTCCCATATGTCCTGAGAATGTCTCGGGGTATGTACGCTATCCTCAGGATATCCCGCAAAATCCCGGGACGAGTACGAAATCCACAGGATATCCTACAATATACCGTAATGTCCCGGGATTTGTAAGTTAACCTCAGGATATCCTGCAAAGTCCCAAGATATGTACGAATGCCATAGGATATCCCAGAATGTCCCATGAAATCCTGGGACATGTACAAAATCCACTGGATATCCTGTAATGTCCCGGAAACAAACTGAAGAAAAAATACTACCACTGATGAAATGTATATCTAAATTTAAATGTTCAACAAGGCCAATATATAATAATTTGTTTTTTTTTACTAGCGCTTTCAGAAGCTTGGTTTCCATCTTCAGGCTGTGTTTACACTACCTAGTACAAAAAGTAAATATTTACTTAATAAATTAATTTTAAACAAAGTTAAAACAGATTATTTAAAAGATATTGGAAAAATAAAAAATAATATTATAAAAATTAATCTTTTGAATTTTGGATATATTACAATGTTGTTCTTGATGTACCGGTAATTATTTTCAGTAATTCCGAATTTATAATTGGGCCGTCTTCATTATCCTACTAATATTATAAATGAGAAAGTTTGGATGTATAGATGTATGGATGTATGGATGTATGTTTGTGACAAGTGAACGCGAAAAATACTGGTCGGATTGGGCTGAAATTTGGCATGATGATAGCTCACATTCCCGATTAACATATAGGCATATTCTTATTTCAAAAATCCTTTCGGGCTCCGCCCCAGTGGCTCTGGAGTTTCCCATGTTAACCTTATGAGAAATGGAATTATTGAATCTTAACAGCTGTTTCAACTAAACAAGTTGGTTCTGTTCTATGATGTTCAATAGCATTAAAGTTACAAGGATTACCAACAGGGTGCAGCACTATTATTTCTTTTACATTTATGACAACAGCTAATTTGCAACCAAAAGGTGAGTGAGCGTAGCGAACGAACTTCAACCTGGAGGCGAGTTAGCGTAGCGAACGAGCTCCAACCTAAAGGTGAGTGAGCGTAGCGAACGAGCTCCAAACTAAAGGTGAGTGAGCGTAGCGAACGAGGTCCAACCTAAAGGTGAGTGAGCGTAGCGAACAAACTTCAACCAGGACGTGATTGAGCCATGCGAACGAGATAATCTTGAAAATTAAGAAGTTAAACGGGGCAAAGCCCGCGGGTTACAGCTAGTTTAACAAATAATTTTGGTCTGTTTTTTTTTATAAAAATAAGATTCCGACGCATTAAGATGTTGAGGTTTTATCATTTGTTTTAAAAGTTTAAGGTTTCCCAGATTGAAAATATGTCTTGTTAATACTGTATGGCTAGCAAGGGCTGACTTAACTTTACTGACATATTACTACCACTGAGTTCAAGAAAACTAGAGTTCTATCATAGTTGTGTGAAATGTGAATTTAATTCTAACTTTAAATTAATAAAACAACCAAAAACTAATTTTAATCATATAACAATCAATTATAACAGTGCTAATCTAATGGTAATTAAACAATCTATATTCAAATACCAGTATCCTCTCCAACTACCAGAAAAACAATTCAACTACTTGAGGCCTAAACAGATTAACAGAATCATATTATAGCCTATACTGGGGTAGTATCAAAAATATTTTAAGTATTGCGACCATTGCAACTGTTGGCTACTCTTTCATCACTTGAAAACACCTACAATCATCAAGCGCAGATAGCTCAGGAGGTAAAGTAATAGGCTCATAAGGCGAAGGTACCGGGTTCGAGACCCGACTGGGCCAAAAACTTTTTTCTCGTTTTTTTCTTCAAAATTTGTGTTTATTAACTATTTAATCAATTTGCTAAACTTATAATTAAGCTTTTCATACTAAATCTATATTATTTTGTGTTTTTTATGTTCAGGCCCAGACCACACTTTATCCCAGGGACATCCCATAGTAGTCCCATATGTCCTGAGAATGTCCTGAGGACTACCCTGGGATGACCTCGGATGTCCTACGGATATGCGTGTGAGCTTATCCGTAGGACATCCCCGGGCGGGGACATTACGCATTCCAGAGGATATCCTGTGATATCCCAGGTTGACCATAGGACCACTATGGGATATTTTGCATATCCTGTCGCAATATCCGTGGGATGTCCAGAGGAGAAAGTGTGCTGTCTGGGATGTGTTTTATTTAGGATATTATATTATGATCAGATGTAAACAAATATTGTTATTATTGTTATAGACTTCTTACAAAAGACATGTTCAAATGAAATGTTATCAATTTAGTTCATTCCTAATTATTATTGTCACGAAAAGTAAAGACGGTCGTGATACATGGCGCAGCGTGATGCAAACCTACAGATCCAACAGGAAATTGAAGAGATAAGACTTCAAAGAAATCAAATCCATGTCAAGCCTCCAGACAATTTTTCCTTCAACCCCTATGATTGGAGTTCGTGGAAGAAACGCTTTGAAAGGTACAGGTCAGTCAGCGATCTACATAAAGCGCCTGGGAAAAGGCAAGTTGACATTCTTTGCTATTGTATGGGGGATAAGGCTGAGGAAATATTTGATTCCTTTAATCTAAGCCCTGATGAGTTGGAAAATTATGAATTGATTATGGGAAAATTCGAAAACCATTTCGTTCCCAAAACAAACATAATTTATCAGCGTGCTAAATTTCTTAAGCCGGGTTTTCCTAGGCGCGGAGTCGGCCAGCGGAGAGCGGACTCCACTTGTCTTAGGCAATTTAATGTTACTGTTTTCCTAGAAGCGGAGCGGAATGCCATGTTAATTTCAATTCCGCTCTCCGCGTTCCTCTCTCCGCTGGCCGACTCCGCGCCTAGGAAAACCCGGCTTTAGACGAAAACAAGGATCCTCAGAGTCTGCTGAAAACTTCATCACAGACTTACATACTCTTGCAAAACCATGCAACTGGGGAGATTCAAGGGATGAAATGATTCTCATGCAACTTATCGTTGGAATGAATGATCAAAACCTTAGTGATCGCTTACAGTTACAAAGCTCACTAAAATTAGAAACTGCAGTTGATGCTCTTCGTAGTTCAGAGGCATTAGTTAGGCAAAAACTTGACCTAGCTGATCCCTCCGTTGATCGGGTAAAATTTAACACCACTCCCAAAAAGTCTTTTTGTAAGAAAACTGTTTCTAATAACCATGGAAAATACAATCCAGAAAACCTATGTAAATGGTGTGGGAATACTCCATCCCATCGCCGAGGCTTGTGTCCTGCCAAAAATGTTCGGTGTAACAACTGTAAAGCAAACGGTCACTTTGCTAAAGTTTGTTCTAAGCAAAAGGTAAATGAAGTCAGTAGTGAAGTTCTGTTTGTTAATCAATATTGTACAAATTCTGAAGAATTCATAGGTAAAATTACCGAAAACAGTGCTCTAAACCCTGAATCTTGGGAAATTGACCTCAGGTTTAATGATTCTGACATTATTAAGTTTAAAATCGATACCGGAGCAGACGTTTCAGTTTTACCGGCTAATATCAAGCTAAACAAAAAAGTTCCATTGCAACATACTTGTAAAAGACTCTCAGGACCGGATGGGACTCAGTTAGCTGTACGAGGGATGGTAAATGTAAAGTTAGACTATAAGAACAAATCTTGTTTCGAGCGTTTTTATGTAGCAGAAAAATTTAAAACACCGCTCCTAGGTAAACCAGCCATTGAAAAACTAAACCTTCTACAAGTTGTCCTTAGTGCGTCTTCAACTTCGACGAACTGGTACGAAAAATATCCATCTCTTTTCAGTGGTTTAGGTGAAATGAACGGAGCTTATGAAATTGAGCTAAAAATGGGAGCAAAGCCATTCTCAATTACAGTGCCTCGACGAATACCTCTACCATTATGGTCAAAAACCAAGGAAGAGATCGAAAGAATGGTATGGAGGTCATAACTCTAGTAGACCATGCTACACCTTGGTGTTCTCCGATGGTAGTCGTACCAAAGAAAGACAGCGGTAACGTTCGTATATGTGTTGATCTTTCAAAACTAAACCAAAGTGTTCGGCGCCAGTTACATCCAATTCCAGGGATAGAATACACAATAGCACAGATCAAAGGAGCTACTGTGTTCTCAAAGCTAGACGCCAAACACGGTTTTTGGCAAATACCTTTGGAAGAAAAATCACAAGATCTCACCACTTTTTTGACACCTTGGGGACGATTTAAGTTCAAGGTCCTCCCCTTTGGCATTACATCAGCTCCGGAGTATTTCCAGAAACGCATCCATGCTGCTCTTGGTGATCAAAGAAATGTAAAAGCTTACATTGATGATATCCTAATATGGGGAAGCACACAAGCCGAGCATGACAAGGTTTTGATGGAGGTTCTGGAAAAGCTTCAAAAGGAAGGCATTACCTTGAATAAAGATAAAACAGTCTTTTCACAGCCAAAAATTAAGTTCCTTGGCTTTGAACTGCGTGCTGATGGTATTTCTCTTGATCA